ATTCAGGTTTTAAAAATAATTATTTATATAAAATTATTTTTCTGAATTAACGTCTGTATATGTAAGTAAATACCAGTTGACCTTTTCCATTATACTGCAAGCTTAAAATTCTGGAAGGGTTATATTGTGGTGAAAGCTGTCTGCTAGCAAAAATTGGTAGACACCAATTTACGTCAATGTTTACGTCCCAAATCTTGGTCATGAGAATAACAATAACAAAGACTAACCTTGAAGAACTCAACAATCAATCACAGCACACTTTTCGTGGGCGGATACGATTCGCAGATATATGGTCTGACCTTCAACGAAACAGCCACAAAGAGATGACTGACTAACTTGCAGCGAAAAAACAACCAATCAGAACACGCTGTTTCTCTGTTAATAATTACGAATAAGAATGCACATAAAAATATTTAAATATCTCTTGATTTTCTTAATATACGACCTGTTGCCTAGCCCTTGTCTTCTGTCGTTACAATACTATACTAGATAACGCGAAATGAAACTATTCAAATGTTTACATTTCGGATTGGGTTTTCATTAATTCCAGTCTATTCATTATAATAAAGGTTTTTGTATTTCCCAATGAATGAAAAACAAAACGATACCGTTTTTACTGAAGTTTCGCTATGTAATGCTAATAGCGTTATCAAAGTATTCCGGTTTGTGTTCCTTGAGGAATAACATCATCTAAGGAAAAGTAGGAATGTAAAGGGCACTAAAACATCTTGCTTACTTTCATTTGCCACCTAGTTTTATAAAATCTCAAGAAAGTTGACTCAACTATGTGTTAAACTTAAAAGCCATGAGGCTTTTATCGAGAAACAATTGACGAAAAGGGAGAAAAATATGACTCTAAAGTGAACTGTTAAACAGTAGGAACCTTACCTCTCTCTCCCGCCACTGACTGACCACTTAGCAATGCAGAACACTGCAAAAAAAAAGTGTGTGATTCCAAGCTAACTCTTTCCGGGATACTTTTGATTTTACTGAGTGCATAAAAGTATTGAATGTAAATGGCAAACGAATGTTATCATCGGATGTAGAATCTCTATTTACGAATGTGTTGCTCCCAGACACAATTTATCTCCTTTGCAAATATATGGATGACAAAAATCTGAGTATCGGAACACCGACCTCATATCTGAAAAAGTTGTTATTAAGGTGCACACAACGTACAATTTATATTCAATGACATCACCTATATAGAAAATATCCCCATTTAGACATTTGGAAAACACAAAAGACTGAACGAAGAAATATATACTTTTCAATTAGATCCTCATCTCTGGCTCTACTCTAATATATATAGCATTTTTACAATACACAACAATTTACCAAACAAGTGGTGATATGTTTGTTAACAATATTTAAACAGTGTCAAAATGTCAATGGGTAGATAATTAACGCAGAAAATCAATACACATTTAAAACGTAGAAATGGATAGAATAAATTAATTTTACAAGAATAACACGTAATTAAGGATGAAGTGGTCAAAATAAATATAAATAAAATAAAATAATTTGGACAATTATAATTTAATAGGGGGAGGGGGGCGACGTGGTCCTGTCTTGTAAGGATGGCCACGGTAAGCAAAGTGGCTGTACAAATTTCTTCTGTACACACAGGCTTGGCTTCTTAAGGTGGATTCCGATTGCTTCTGCTGTCTGTAGAAGACGAACTCTTAGAGCAAAGTTGAGATTAGTCGGAATGCGATAAATAATTTTGAATGCAGTATTCACATCAACCTTGTGCTCAGTATCAACAAGGTGTGCTAAATTAGAACTCCGAATAGATTTTGTTTGTCCCTTGCTTAACCATGTTGGATGATGTTCAGAAATACGACGATGAAACTGCCTAATTGTACGCCCAATGTAGCTGGCTCCGCAGCTGCAGTCAAACTGGTAGACACACATAGAAGAGGCAAAATTAGGTAGTTTGTCCTTATTTCTCGAACATAGAATAGGGGTGGTTTTGAAGAGACAACGTACTTCTGCTGCATAATAAGCTCTTTTAACTGCATTCTTCAAGCGCTGTGTTATGATTTCACTGATGTTGTCACCAAGGAACTGCAATTTTATGAACATTGGCTTTTTCGAAACTGTAGACAAAAAGACGGGATTGCTACGGGCTCTCCCCTTGGCCCACTTTTGGCAGGCTGCTCCATGGACAACCCGGAAAACGGCTTCTTAAAATCAACAATGGACAAATTGCTGTCGCCTAAAAGATACGTCGATGACACTTTTATAGTTTGTCAGGATGATTCTGATTTAAATTGTATCTTACGGGAGTTTAATAGCTTCCATCCCTCAAGTAAATTCACAGTGGAAGTTGAAAATGAATCGAAGATTCCATTCCTGGACGTCGAATTGACAAGAAGAGATGATGGAACTCTGAAAAGATCTATCCATAGAAAACCAACATGGAATGACCAACTGACAAACTTCTACAGTTGGATACCTATCAGCCGTAAAAGAGCTCTCATCATCTCGCTAGCCCACCGTACCAGAAGAATTTGTAGCGATGACTGTTTAGAATAAAAGCTTATATTTCTCAAAATCATCCCGGTTCAAAATGGATACCCACTGCGTTTCGTGGAGAACATGAAACCAAGGCCAAAAAGAGAAGAATAAACCTGAATGCCAAAGAAAATTCTTTATTTGAATCTGGAATTCAGGGGAGACCTAGCAGCAGATATCCTTAAAAGGAGAATCTCCAATTCCCTGAAGAAGACTTTTCCTGCAGCAACTCTTACAGTGATATTCTCAAGCCGCCCACTACTTCGGAGAAACGGGAAGGACAGACTTCCGCATATGACCACTTCACTGTGCATATATCAGTTCACCTGCTTGTGCGAAGCTAGGTACATGGGTCGTTCTATGCGGGTCTTGTCAAAACATGTTAGAGAACATCATCCAGCATGGCTGCAAAGGGGAGCACTGGTTCAGTCAGAAGCGCCGTAACTGAACACCTGGTCAATAGTTGTCACAGCCTCTCAACTGACTCATCATTCAGAGTAACTTACAAAGTAAACAAAAACCTACCAAGGGCAATGTGTTTCCGACCTCTTTGTACTGCGGAAGCTGTCGCCATATGCATCGAAAAGCCAAAGCTATGTGTTGAAAAGAAACTAGTCCAGCCTTTACGACTACCGCGGAACTAGTTCGGTGTGTTCCCCTATCCTTCAGTTTTTTGTCTTATTTTCTGTGTGTAATTTTCTCTGTTTGTCTTCATTCAACTCATCCCATTTTTTCAGTTATAAAATCAGTTATTTCAGGTTTGTTCCCATGCTCCTCCTGATCACACTTGTGATCCATTTAGAATAACCACTTTACAATTATATTCTAATCCTGAGTAATTTTTTGTTTCTATGCCTCTTGTAGTTTGTATACACACCTCCTAACTTACATTTCAAGTTGAAAACTTTGATTTCAATTTTTTTTCCATGCACATTTTGTTCACACCTGTAATTCGTTCTATCTCTGCGTAACTTTTGTTTCTAAGCCTCTTGTAATTCATATCAAGTTGCAAATAATTATCAACTTTTATTCGCTTTAAAAATTATTTCCCCAGTTATCAAATTTTAATTTTACACACGTTGTAACTGTTTTCTAATTCTATGCAATCTCGTCTCTCAGCCCCTTGTAATCTATATCAGTACCTTCAAGCTTTCATATCAAGTTGAAAATTATTATCTCCTTCGTTACTATGTGGAATTAAATAATTAATAATTGTATCCATGTAAACTAGTGTATTTAAATGCGATTGCACAGCTACTTTTGAGAATGAAATCCCCGAAAAGGTCGGTATCTTTGCTGAACTTCTTGTTCTTTTCCCACTTTGGATCAATCGCATACATCCTAAACCTTCGTCTACTATGGACTGACTACTTGATCTATTTAAAACTATGATTGGTCATTAATATGTACTTTTGTTCTATATAACTGAGTAATTGTCATGCATTTTATCTTATTATTATTATGAACCATGTTAGTTGTAAAGCTGTTGTAAAGAAACACTAATGTTGTCATTCACACATTCATCAACCTGAAACCAATCTGGAAATCTTCGTCACTCAGCCTGCATCAACAACAAAATTCGGATTTTCAATACAAACGTCAAGTCAGTTCTTCTATACGGATGGATCAGAAACTTGGCGGATCACAAAGAATGTTTTCAACAGCCTGTTGCAGACCTTTATCAAAAACTGTCTTCGCTCTATACTGAAGATCAGATGGCCGGAAAGAACAAGAACCAACAAGAAACTATGGGAACAAACAAAACAAGAAGCAATCGCTCAACAAATATGCAGCAGAAAGTGGAGATGGATTGGACACTCGCTGAGGGGGTCGCTGGGTGACATCGCGCGTCAGGCCATCACTCGAGTGGAACCCGAAAGGGAAGCGGCGAGTGGGACATCCAAGGGTGACATGGAGGAGATCGTGTGAAGAGGAGTTGAAACAGTATGGACTAACATGGATGCAAGTGAAAAGTACAGCAGAAGACAGAAGCAAGTGGAGACGTGCAGTTGAAGCCCTATGTTCCACAAGAAACCCAAGGGAACAATAATAATAATATAATGTTGTCAGCCAATGACAATAATTTTTTAATTATTATGGATGCATGTAACTGTGCTACTTGATAAAGAAGCTATCGAAGAGAATACTTTTCGTTCACTCTATTCAGTCTTTTGAAATTTCGTAGTGGGTATTTCTAGTCGATATCCACTGGGTTCAAACCTCGGTAGGAACACCTTGATCACTACTCACTGGAGAGTGCATGTACATCCAATTGACGAGTCCCAAATAGGACGAAATGCGTATCCTGGATTCCACTGCTAGTCATCATTAACCAATTAACTTTTGATTCGGTATAGTCTACTCATTTTAGCCCTGGAAGATGAACTCATATGTCTTGTTAACAAATAACATGACGACTTAAGAAATGTTATTAACTGACACATAAGGTGTAAGAATTTTATTAGAAAAACAAAGTCGTCTTATACATAAATGCATGTAATTCAGTAAAGAAACAATAATAATAACAATAGTAATAAATAATAATACTAGTAAAAAGTAAATTAACACAAAAATAAATCTATGTATCATCATCGCTTGATGGTAATTCACCTTCTTCCAAAGATTCATTGCAATCAGGTGATTTCCTACAAGGGCTTCCAGGCGGTGTTGTTGTATCCATTTTTGTTGTTACAGGAGATTCAGGTTCATCTTCTAAAATAAATGGTTCTTCTAAATTATCTGCATCTATCGGAGAAGGAAAGTTTGTCTCATGGAATGGTTTTATTGGTTTATTATCTCGGATTCTGGGTAGATTTTTCAACTTTTCAAGTTGTCGTCGTTTACGACGATGGCGCTTACGAATCCTATGTGAAATAATAAAAGAAAATTACATACAATTTCTAAAAAATAAATAATTGAATATATAACTCAACAGTTCAATTTAAAACTAAAAGGGTGGTACCATCTGATGAAAAGTATTTTTAAAACTGTAATGGAATATTATGAATTTCTAAAAAAACAATGGAGATTTGTAGCTCAAGTGGATGAGCTTGAATTAGTTGTGTTCTTTATGAGCTGGTTGATGTAATTGTGAAGCGCTCATTGTCCACCTTCTAGACAACATCACCTCATCACAGACTTCAGTATAAAATGAACTTATTTAAATTCTCTACGAATGATATAATTGTATCTCCTGGTAACCAATGTCGTCACTGGTTGCAAATTTACGTCTCTATTGTTCATTATTTTTGACTTGGAATTCGGACTTGTTTGACATGTGATGTATATTTTACTAGTTGGTAAATTTGGAGTTCCCGCCGGTGATACTGGTTGGTGGTCGTGCTAAAATCACGAATTGATAGAAGTTAGAATTCATGAACCATTGAATCGGGTCCCAGTAGCTGAATGCTATAATAATATGTTTGTTAATTGTTGATTCACTTGAGTACCAAGCTTCTAGGAATCCTCCGGCATTTTGGGGTTTCCCCTGTTTAAAATTTCTACATTATCCCAATCAAATTGATGCCCATAGTTATCCACATGCATCGATACGAAAGAATATATATCTTGTCTTTTAACAGCTAATTTGTGTTCTTAGATTCGGATTCAAAGGGGACGCCCACTTTGGCCGATGTAATGTCTGTTACAACTCATACAGTTAATTTGGAAATAGTATTAATTTAGTCTTATTTTCCTGTTGGATCTTTCGGTTTGCACAATATCAAATGAAGTGATTGTCTTGGTTGGCTTGTGTGCTATATTTATATCAAGTGGTTTCAGCATTCTAGCTGTTATTTCAGAGATATTTTTTATGATCAAATATGAAACAAATCAAATACCTACAAAAAAAAAAACAACTCTTGAAAATGGATCTGATGCTCGCTAGTAAGCGGCTGTCAACAGGACAAAGTTAACTGGAGTACCAGTAGGAAGCTGTGGTCAGTGGAGTTCATCCGGTCGGTAGTGAGAACAAATACTCGCCAGTGATGAAATTGGCTGGTGGTTGCGCAAAAATTATGAATTTTAATAGAATTTACAATTCATGGGTTAGCCCCATTGGAATGGGTCCCAGTGGCTGAATGGTCTACAAGCTTGCCTTGTAACCGGAAGCTCCTGGATTTGAACCCTGTTGGTGGGTGCGTACTTCCGACGAGTATCAAACTAGAACAAAGAGAAAACAACTGCCCAGTACTCCTTGATTCCCAATGGTCCTCTAATTGATATCAATCAATCCATAGTCAAATTTGGAATATACCAAAAGTATCATATATGCATATATATATATATATATATATATATATATATATATATATATATATATATATATATATATAATCGAAACTGCATTCTAAGCATACCTTTTCATTTTATCCCTTATTTGCTTATCAATCAGGAAGATGATTTTTTTCTCTTCTTCTTTGACAGAATAGGAATGTTTAATCAGGTTAAGATATACGCCACCAGGAGAACGTCTACGGGATCCATCCTAATAATTTGAATGAAATAGGAATAAAGTATTAATACTAATGTTTAATAAAGATGGTATATATCTGTACACTACAACTTCAGAGAAGGAAGTACTGTAACAGTGTGGTGAGCGCTACTTACTTACAACCAGATATAAGTAGTATATCCGTAGGCGAATTCAGTAAAAGTAACAATATGGCAATAGAAAAAGCAATAGAAGAAGAGAACTGTGAGAAAAACGTTAGAAACACTGTGCAGAATCATCCAACAAGCTATCGAATGTGGTGGGTGATATTCGATCAATTTGTAAATGATGTGCAAATAACGACTTAAAGATTCATGTACCTACAATGCGTTTGTCCTAATAAACACTGCCTTCGAGTCTCATCGATCTTTTCTTCTTTACGGCAGTACACTAAAAGATTTTCTCAATAATATTGACCATTAAATACAAATAGTGACAACCTACTTCACAGAAAACGAACATATAATTCCCTGAATATGCATTGAAGGTATCTTTAACATTTGTTCATTTAAAACAAATTCATAATTTGCAATGTAAAAACATTTTGAAGGGTGAAATCTGTACCACAGTTTTCTTTAGAAAGCAAATTATTCAGATCAGAATCAGCTCTCTGAGCTGAGTCAAATCAAGTACACCGTTGGTGAGATCAGTCGACCTCAAACGAGTGAAACGGCCGTCCAGTGTTGAGATTACCTCGATCTGTCTGGCTAGCAAGCACTACTTGGTTGATATGAGTGGCGTACAACTACTCGTCTCAACTAATCAGTAGTATGTAGTTTCATGCGAATATTTTTGATTTAACTACGTATTTATTTCAAAGTCTAGTACTAGCCTCCACCGAAAATAAAAAACAATGATAAAATAAAATGAACAAAATAGCAGGAAATATGGTGTAAGTGAAATAAAGCAAACAGAAAAGAATAAAAAGGAGATATGATAAAAGTAGACGTAAGGAAGAGAAAATAATTAAATTGGATGGAGGATTTCATCATGAGCTGACATCAATTAGAGAACCACTGGAAAACCAGCTGGGAGTACTGGACAGCTGTTTCTTCAGCCTAGTTTGGGACTCCTCATCAGTACGCACCCACCACCAGGGTTCGAACCCAGGACCTTCTGGTTACAAGGCTAGCGAGCTCGTAGACCATTGAACCACTGGGACCCAATCCATGAATTCTAACTTCTGCCAATTCACGACATAGCGCGACCATTTCGCAATGTCTTCTTCGATGAGTTACTGACTCATCTTCAACCTGTTGTACCCTACTGGTCACTGCCTGAATAGGGCCAGTCGCTGGTGAGCATCAGATTAATTTTCAAGTATTGATGAAATCCTCCATCCAATCTAAAATCCCTACGAAACCATTTCTTGAAAAATAATTAAATGTTCTTGTTGTCATTTGAACTCAGTTACTCGGAACTCATCTTTCCTGTACTAGCCATACACTTTACTCAGGCTGAATTAGGTAAAGATTAAAGGTTTGCTGAATCTGAAAAGTTCATTGCATCGTGAAACGAATTATCATTTGCGCCAAATACACCATAACTAACATCACATTATTACTCAGCATATCAATCCATCTAATGTGAGCAACACAACGAAGGTATCTATGGTCAGAAACTGTTAGTCTTTTCAGAATTACTGCCTTCTGAATCCATATCGCTGGCATAAATTAGTACTAAAAGGACCTGTTGTTTAACACAGTTAAAAGTGGGCAAACTCCCACCTCATATTACCTCCAACTGCGTCTACCAACTTACATGTACGTACCAAAGCACATACATTGGAAGAACAGAGAGAAGAGTTATTGTCCGCATCGCTGAACACATACCAAAGAACTTGAGATTAAAGGGCCCACAAGCATTAAACAGTGCGATTGCACACCATCTACTGGACACTGGCCATGTTGTGGACAACCCGAAGTCGTTCAAAATAATCAACAGACAAAAGAAACTTAGCCTGCTTCGTTTTGCTGAGGCAATCGCCATCAAACAGCTAAAAACCAAATATATGTACGTAGAAAGAGACAGTGGTGGTGAGTCTTGCACTGCCTTGATGATAACAAAGCGCACACATTTCACTACGTCATCTTTTGTCTTTTTTAGAAAACTTGAATTTTTCGTCTAAACATGACTCGTCCGACTCCCACGCCCTTTTTTTGTCCATTTTATAAAAACATGTTTTTCTTCGGTTACGTAACCCATTACTTTGTATACTTTTTCTAGTTAAACTTTATCTCTACACACAAAACATCAGTTGAACTCTGTCCTTTTGTTTCCAAACTTAGTCATGCAATTCTTCTATAAATAGTTGATTCTTTTCACTCTTAATTATTTAACAACTTACATTATTCTAGACCAATGTTACTCTCAGTTCCAATCAATTACTCATTATCATTATAAGAAAAATTTATAACTGGTTGAGAAGAATCCACGTGAGCTCAGATTATCCGGATAAATTTGTCGGTTTTGCTTTATTCAAATTTATTAATGGGAAGAATTGTAAGAAGTTACTAAAAGGACTGTTATGTATTTGAAATGCTGTTCGATAGGTAGCTAGCTAGTTATAAAACACACCTAGGCAACATGTGTCAAATGGTGTATATGAGCCTCACATCAGCAACCAGTTCATTAAGACTGGTGGGGGAGATTTGTGGCACAGGTGGATGATATCAGTGTAGTTTCATTCCTAGATATAGATGGTTTATAATTGTAAAACAAACTTTCATTGTCCTTCTAGACTATATCTTCAGAGCTACCTTCAATGTGAAGTGAGCTTTGAGGTTTCTTTCACATTGGCCTGATATTTAACTTTTTGGTCTTGTGACCTATTTTTTTAGAACAACACATTTAAGCGAACGATACTGTTTTGAATAAGATCTCATCAGGCTTAACTCTAATACACTTACGTAACTTTACAAATAAAAATTCAAATATAAACCAATCATGGTGTTTTGTCTATAGGATAATACGATGGTGAATATAAATTGTGCAATTAGTCATAATAGTGTGGTGAGAGCTGTCTACTAGCCAAATTGGTAGACAGTAATTTACGTCAATATTTACGTTCCCAAGATTTGTCGTGAGAAACAACCAATCGGAAGACTGTGTTTGTTTGTTTACGTAGCCATAGTAATGTACATGAAGACATATATGAATATGCGTTGATTTCCTTAATAAATGATCTGTTGCCTGACTCTTGCCTTCTGTTGTTACAATAGTAGTAATGATAATATTAATAATAATAATGGTCTTATCAATAATAAGGATGAAAAAGTGAGGCAATCTGTGATAACACGAATAATGAAAAAACAGTATGATTAAACAAACAACTGTTCAGGTGGAAGTAGTCGATAAAGGCTAGTAAAAACAAATGAACCGATTAAGTAATGTTAGATTGTAAGGGAAGTAAATGAAACAATGAAACAAGATTAAGGGATGATAAGAAAGGGGTTGAAAATATAAACAAGGGGTGGTGTAGAAGTCATTAGTTGGTTATGTCTTAATAGGCCAACAAGGGAGGGATAAAGGCTGTACGAACCTCGTTTGAATGCATAGTTTAGGTTTAGTAGTTCGAATGCCTATCGCTTCAGCTGTGTACAGTAGACGAATACGAAGTCTATCGGAAAGATTCGGTGGGATACGATGAATTACTTTGAAAGCTTTCGTTTTCTCCACTACATGACCACTATCAACTAAATGTGACAAAATTGAGCTACGGATTATTGTCTGTCCTTTGCCAAACCGCGATGGGAGATGTTCACTAAAACGTTGGCTAAGCTGTCTAATAGTACTCCCAGTATAACAGTCACCGCAGGTGCATTCGAATTGATAAATGCACATAGATGTGGCAAAACTATCAAGCTTGTCCTTCGTTTGCGTCCCAATCATTCGTCGGCTAGAGAATGACAAACATAGGTGTGCTGCATAAAATGTTCTTCGTATACTCCTTGAAAGTCTTTGGAATAGAATCTCACTTGATAAGTCACTATTAAATTGTAACTTAATAAGTAGAGGTTTTTACGTGCAGTCACAGTCTCAGGTTTTCTCTCTGTTTTCATATGTTTCTTTATGAAACTACTCGGATAGTCCATCTCTGTCAAGGAATCGAGAATATATTCAAATTCCTTTTGTAAGAGGTCATCTGTACATATCTTCCTTGCTCTGCTTTTAAGACATTTAACAACATTTCTTTTATATTTAATGGGCACGTAACTAAGGAAGTGTGTGTATTGCCCTGTGAATGTGCTTTTTCTACACATGCTTCTCCCAAGTGACCCATCTTCTCGCCTACCTAGTAAGACATCCAGGAAAAGTAGTTTGCTATCCTGCTCCTCTTCACAAGTAAAAGTAAGTGAAGGGTGGATATTGTTGAATTTCAGCAACAATTCGTCTATGTTTACATTCCCATCAGCTAAGATAAATGCATCATCGACATAACGGTGATACATAACAAACTCCTCAATGTTGTCTTTCAATTTTCCGTTTTCAAGTTTTGCGAGGAAGAAGTCATCTAATATTGGGCCTAATGATGAACCCATAGCTATTTTTTATTGATTGATGGATATGGTTACAGCCATAAGAAAATCCGCAAGAACAACAGGTCATAGTCAAGGTTACCAGGAGAAACAAATATTTCATTTATGGAGAATTCCCACAGCCTACTTTAGATTGCAGGCGGCGGTGTAAAATATTGTCACGAAAGACAATGAAAGCTCAGATGACACAATGACACCGTAAACATTTCACTTTCGATCCTTAAAATGTGATTGGTACACGCCACTCTTGTCATATATATACACACATATATATTCACTCAAGACGTTCAAAAGACTGCATTTTATCAATGTTCTCATTTTAAAAAGAAGGATATCATAAAGGTACTCAGAAACAGTGATATTGTCCCTTATTAGCAGCAAGTCGATTTCCTGTGACATCAGAGTTACATCGATTAGCACATTTCGTACTTATGGTTAAACATAAAAATGTTATATCTAACACAAGAACGAAAGTTTCTCAAAAAACCGGAAAGTAAAAATATAGTCATACTAAAAGCCATGAAAGAGAGAATTATAGCACCTTTGGACAAAGAGGACTATATCAAGAAAGTTGCAGACTTGATCAAAGATAACCAAACATACTAAAGTTTCCTGGCAAATCTTATCTACACATTAGACAACCAAATCTAAAAAAGAACCTTAACAAACTTCTCGAAGTGAGTCACATCACAAAGGAAGACCACTAGACCGACGAAATCCAATCAACCCGTTTTACCCCCAACTTTACGGTAACCCTTCCTCCCTCCCCCTCTTACAATCAATCTTCTCATTATCAGGGACTCCAACATATAATTCCTCCAAAGAAGTCTAAAGAAGACTAAGATTTCTAGCCGAATCCTGTGCCTACTTCATCAAAGCACCAAGTCAACTTCTGGAGCAAATCAAAGACATTCAAATAGATGATCCTGAAATTATGGTACCTTTTAATGTCACAGCACAGCGTTATACACTTCTACAGGACAAATAATATCAAAAGAAACTGTGCAACAACTACTCAGCAATGATGAACACCATTCACAACACTCAAAAATACAATGCTCATGTTGGATGCAATGCATAGATTTATGTCTGATAACGTATTTTCGATTCAGTAGCCTAATATATGAAAAGATGAAAGCCCAATCTATGGGATTACTCATATCAAGGACGATTGGTGAGGCTATTGTGAAACCATAATTCTTATTAATATATGTGTAAAACTTGGGCACTGTGGTAGTAAGTAATTCCATATTAGTTTGTTTATTAGATGTATCACACAGTGAAACAGTATTATTTACTGGATGATACAGTTTCGAACAAAATTCATTGTTCATAATCCTATCAGTTATGATCACACGACTTTGAAACTTGAGTTTTATAGTTTTCTCCTATTTGTCATCGTTGGAGTAGTAGAATTTTCCAGATATCTGGAACAGGTATTGAATCATTCCTATTGCAATTGATTCGATAAGCAAAGCTTCTGTTATCAATCTATCCCTCCACCCTGAGACATTAAATTTTAAAACTGTCATCCTATCCCACCCTATTGTGTGGTTGTGTGTAACTGCATGTAGTGCTATAGCTGAACTTTTCACTAGATTTCTTAACTTATTCGAATTTTGTGCTCGGCTAGTCTGACTGCTCCTGTTCTACTAGTTTGACCTATGTATTTGACCTGACAATCATTACAGGGTATTAGATAAACTAAATTGTTTTGTTTTAAGCGCCCTACAGGATCTTTTAACCGACAAAGCTTGTTTCTAATTGAGTTTGTGGGTTTGAATGCCATTTTTATTCCTGCCTTGTTAAGAATTCTGCGTACGGTTTCCAAGGTTCCTTCCTTGTATGGAATTTTTTTTCCTTCACGTTCCACAGTGGAACATAGGGCTTCAAGCTAGTAGCTTGAAGTTTCTGTAGCAGTGTTTATTTTACAAGATGGGGTTGCTAGCCTCATGCCCAACCTTTCCTCTTCACATGAATTATTTCTGGCTTAACGAGGTAAAGGAGTGCGTCGGCCGGGGATCGAACCCCGGACCATGTGCATGGTTGGCGAGCGTCCTAACCTCTATGCCACCGACGCACTTGTATGGAATTACTGATGATGATTTATATTACCTATTGTCGGTGTTGTCATTATCCTCAGCATTTTTGATATGTATGTCGCCATTAATATTACTATTTTTATTATCATCACTATTACTACCATTATTATCAATTTTATTTTAGCATTTTCCTAGCTCAGTTATAGCAGTTTCACACAAACATACACAAGGATGAGGTATTTTGATGTGGTTGTGTTCTCTGAGCTGGATAGTTAACTTGTGAAGCTTTCATCGCCCTACTAGGCGACATCTTCAGCGCATACTTGAATTTGAAGTGAGCTTTTAGATTTCTATATGAGTTTATTAATCATCTTTCCCGGTGACCTTGGACGTGATTGGTTGTTTTTGTGTGTTTCCACACCTTCTACAAATCTTCTCTATCACACAAGGATGAGATAAGACGACAGTCTTAAAATTTGACATAACAGGATGGAAGGAAAGATTCATAACAAAAGCTCTATTTATTTAGTCAACTGAGAACACTCACAATAGAAGTGATTCAACACACCTGTCCACCCAAACATCTGAAAAATTCTACCACCTGTACGACGAACAAGAAGGAAAGAAGAAAGAAAACCATGCAACGGAAGTTTCGAAGTTGTGTAGTTACGATTGATGATATGATTATGAACAGTAATATAAATTGTGTTCACAACTTCATCATTTGATGTAAATAATACTGTTTCACTGTGTGATACATCCAACAGAAAAATTAATGTGAAATTACATAAAACCACAGCGCTCAAAGTCTACACATATTAATTTGTGGTCAATGCTGTTGAAAACAATCAAATCCCTGTCAACCAACACTTGAAAATTGGTCTAGTGCTCACTAGTTATCGATTGATTGGATACAGGATAAAGTTGTCTAGATTTGTTGTAGTGAGAAGTCCTGACCAAGGGGAGTGCGTCAAGTTGGGTGTAAGAATGAATTGTCGCCTCTGACATTGCCTGGAGATGCGATGTGGCCACTATATATATCGTTCATTGACAGATGATAGAATTGATGGATTATTGGATTCTACTCCAGTGGCTGAAGGCCTTGAAATCGATCCTTGGTATTTCCATGAGTACGAACTGATGAAGAGTCTCGAACTAGGACGAAACAGCTGCCCAACACTCTCTGGTTTTCAATGGTTCTCTCTCTAACCGATGTCAACTCATGATTAAACTTCACATCAATCAAATTCCAGCAAACAAACACTTGAGAAATATCTTTCCAGTACTTCCAGTAAAGCAGAAATTTTTATTATGTGACTGAATTGTATGAAGAAAATAGGCATCATGCAGATTAAAAAACAAACTGTTAACACATGAAAACTTACCATTAAATATAGACCTCCACTATTTTCAACGTCTTCAGTAAGGTAATAAAATTCAAGTGCTCGTTGAACACCAAGAATATCAACTGTTCGTCCTATAGCATCAAAATGATTCAGATGTAAAAATAAACTCACGTATTAAATCTTCATTAGGTTCCTTCAATAACCTGATAATTGTTTCTGCAACACGATCAGGTGGACTGTCAAAGGTAACATCTATATGACTTCGGCCTACTGATTGATCCCATGAAAGTGGACCAAGTTGTTGTCTGAGAGAGAGGACTGTAGGCTTCGTAGACCCTCTAAGATACCACATAAACGTTTATGTATTTCATTCCCAACCAACCTTATAGGTAATTTTCGCCGACTGAGTAGTTTATCAGGGCTGCCTTCATCACTAGAATCTTCTTTAACTAAATAACTTTCAACACCTCTACCGCTATCAAGTTTCTGCAAAAGCAAAAACAACAAAATTATCATATATTTACTACTATGATTTACTTCGAATAGATGAGTCGATGTTAAGGCATCTTTCAGTAGCATTTCATTGGCAAAATTTAACCAAAGAGGACGTTTTTTTCCAGGTTTATTCGGAGTATTTTCATCATTGTTATCTTTTTCCATTGGTGAAGGTCGACTATCTGATTTCCTTCGTTTCCAACAAATTTCATCCTCATCAGTATCACTGCTTGAATCATCTTCAGAAGATGAATGAAGTTCTTCTCTGTAAGCCATTTAGATGATTGATTTACTGATTGATTCTAAAAATAAATAAAACTATCTTAATAGAGTTGTGTAAGCTAGGATGAGTTGTTCACTATACGTCAAGCCAGTGAAATCATAATAACGAATGCATCATTCTGTTTATTCAGATGTTGATAAAAAATTAAGAATGGGACTGTTGGAAGCAAAGTTTTTTTTTAAAACAATAAAATTTGAAAAGTAGGCAGTATAATCTCATCTGAAGTTATTATGGTGTTAAAGTAGGCGCTCGAATAGCAGGACAGAGTTATGTCTACTAGACTCAAAATGCTTGCTAATTGATTATTTCTCTGAGTTGAACCTTGGAGTGTAACTAGTTTGTCTGTCTGTCACATGCTCTGATGGTTTTATCAGGACTTCTGTTGTCTGATCTGCCAAGGGGGTGATAGGATAATGTGCGACCTAATGATTGTGTGTTACATGTATCTACCTAAGCAAGATAATGTTAAGCTCCAATAAGCTGATTGCTGGCGAAATCTCAGCACGGATTCAAAAAGCCTTTGTGGCATTTGCCAACTTCCGCCATCTCTGGAGTAGAAACGATGTCTGACTATCTTTCAAAGCCCGTGTGTACTACACACCAGTTTGCTCTACACTCCACTATGTTTGTGAGGTATAGCCGTTCGATGAAAGTGCAAGAAATGAAAAGGCTAGCTGTCTTTGACCATAGATGTCTCTGCATTCTATCTCCCGTGTTAGAATGAGTAATAATGAGCCCAGGTGTCGAGTGTTAGGCAATAAGGGAAGGTCAGTCGATGCACTTGTGAAGCTGTATTGATTAAGATGGCTAGGGCATGTGTTACGCATGCATCCCTAGACGTCGCCTTCCTCGACGGGAAATGTTAGCTGATACAGGATTGATCAGGTTGGAAAAGAACAAGTAGTGGTCAAACCAAAACTCGCAATAACTCCAAGAAATGTTTGACAAGTAGTTTTAGCTAGACATGTAGGTAGGTGTAGACTTCTTGGTTAGGTGCCTTAGGATTTCAAGAACCAGTGGCTGAGACAATTGGTGATATGGCTCGGAATCGTCCCAACTGGTGCAGATGCAATCACTCTCTGTAATCTGTTAGATCCGTGTTACTATTCCTTCTTCTTCACGTTTCTTTTTTATTAACGTTCGTCCGAATCTTCTTTTTCTCTTGAGTCTTCCATTATGTGGTGTGTATGGAGTGTAGCAACTTGAACTGCTGCCATTTTGTGCAAAGTTCTATGATGAAACCAGTCAGTCGATAAGCGTTTAACCTACAGTCAAAGAAACTTAAGAGTAGAAAGTACACTGAACTTCTTAAAGTAATACTGTACTTATTTTGATTTCGATATATATAATTATTATTATTATAACGAATAAATACTGTATTTGAATAAATCACCAATCTATTGACCCAAATTTATACACACACAATGTTGTCACTTCCTTCGGCTACCGATGTCGACTAGCTGAAAAGCCTCATAAGAAAATAATTACAATGTGATTGCTACTCAAAAATAATAAATTATTGTGTAAACCTGTAAGACCAAATAAATTTATCTGCAAAACAGCTTATGTTTAACAAGCACTTCTTCAAATGGTAAAATAGTTACCTGGCTTTAAAAAAAAGTGTAATTAATACCCTATAAGAGTATTCATTTCCTAGACTGAGTAAATCGTGGTAGCAAGTACATCTAACACAAACAAAGTAAATTTTGCTCTCTGTTTAAATGTAACGGTAATTTGCACTGTACATCAGTCGCTCTGAATGCAAACATACTGTAGTCGGTTCAGAGAAGCACGCAATGATACAACACTGCATAGTTAAGCACTGAGAATCACAGTTTGCCGCTAACTATTATTATCTAAAGACACTTCAGTCGCAAAAATGTTTATTCACGTGATTGTTAAGTGTACTAACCTAAGACAGTTGATTAGGTGCGCAAAGTGATCACTAAGCTAGATGATACCCTACTCTAATTTACCATGATGCACAAAAATACCAATACTATCTTGAAAGTGCATGGTGGAATTGAGAAGAAACACCTTTGCTTCCCTATCTTCTTATTTCACATAACACTCCAAATGAAATATCACAGAACACTGATACATTCCCTTACGCTAAAGACAACAAAAGTTCAAATATGTAGTCCACAGTTTTGAGGAGTAGTTATCATATTTAAACATAATCACTTGGTTGTAATGAGCACATGTGTTCAAGTAGTGTTAAGAGCAATGGCCAACCGGTTTACAGCTATTTATCGCTTATCCATTGCTCCACTTGTTAAGAAGGTTTATGTCTTCAATTAAAAATAAACGTAAGGATAATGTAAGGAATTCCATTTCCTTCCTCACAATGTAAAACAGATAGCTCACCGTATCTTACACGCTGATTTCAGTGTGATATAGGGGGGTCACAGTCACATGATCACTGATGAGAATATAGTAGTTGCTATTGTCCTTATCATCTTACCTTAAAACAATTTCAACCTACGAGCGTAATTTACAGAAAAATGAATAAATTTTATCATACAACACCAGTATGTCAAAAGTGAATCAAGTTATGCTGAAAGTCAGACAGCGAATACAAGTGGAGCAACCAAAACGTACTTCACTTCAGCAACTAGCAAAACAGCTATGATTTCTTTGTATATACAAATTACTGCTTCGAAATTCAAACACACCCTATGGGGTTTCTTAGAAATTGCTGGAATTACGCATACAGACGATATTTGGCAAACTTCGAAAGCATAAAAGTGACCAGCCCATAAGAACTGTTCCTTGAGATCTGTGGTTGCACGAAACAAGTCTCATAACCCCTGGTACTTTCAGAAAAAAGAAACTTCTACAGTATACACAGTTGGAGAGTTCCAACGCTACACATAATCATCCATAAGCACACAGTCGTTCTATTCACCAGTAACCCTTTTCTTATTCTCCGCGTGTACCTCCTACTGTAAACACCATTTCACAGACTGACTAATGCTGACAACTTAAGCTGAAGAGACATCATCCCAATTCTCCCACAATTTCATATTGGAGCTCACAAAGATTTAATGTTAAGTCGGAAGACAGGCCTTGGAAATATGTTGTCTAATAGAATAGATAAGATTATTCATTTAGCCTCAAATGAGGAACATGGTGAATCTACAGAATTGCCCCGACTAGTATCATGTGATTCTTTGATTTGTTCTTGTGGACTAGTTGGTGTAGAGACAGGAGCAACAAACTCACTCTTTAACTGGTTCTTAGCTGACAATCTCTGATAACAGTCTGAATACTTCCGTCAGAATAAGGAGTGATAGTGAAACATCGGTGACCATTTGCTACTTTCGCGCCACTCGACTGGTGGCATAAAATGGGTTCACACTAACTCCAATTTTAAAAATCAACAGTAAGATGATGGGGTTAATCAAAATAGGACATTTGGGACATGTGTGGTATTCGGAAGTGCACCAAAGGGAGTCTTTACAGTGCAGCAGCGGCTATAAAATATGGACATTGAAGTAGAAATTATTAAAGGACTAACAGTTTCTCACTATTGGTGTTCTGTCTCAGTTGTTTACATTAAGGCAGCAACATTATACGTAATGATAATAATAATAACAATAATAATAATAGCATCGTGTTTTACGTATGTGGTGAAAGTGAATCAATGAGATTGTGAAGCGTCATAGGCTGAAATCACTTCAAAACACATCACCAGTTTAGGAAGTCACTGACTGTTAGGAGTCAGTGGTTGTGAGATCATAGTTACATGACTCAGAATCGTGTCTTCTAGCTTTCCAAAATCTTTAGTCAATCATTTCTTCTCTAACACATAGCAGTCCATTATAATTCCACTATATTTCTTTTTTGAGGTGTGGCAAATTGAACTGTTGCAGTTTTTGTGAAGTTTTATATTATCTAGTCAGCCATCTGAACTTTTGTGTAAATGAATGGATTTTAATGGACTCTGAATAAGGTGAACGGCAAAGGCTGATTAAAGGTGAACTCATTAAAAGTATCCGCAATGCTCAAGAGCAATAGTTAATAATGAAAAGTAAGGAATGTAAAAAGCATCGGTGCCAGGTAATTTCCATTAACTAGCAAAGAAACATATTCCAGAATAGCTACAATAAATAAATTGTGCGTGGAGGCTAAAAATTTGTCTGCTTAGTTAGACAAACAACTTAAAAATTTAAGTGCAATATTTGGAGTACTTCATCTACCAGACAACTGAAACATAGTCACCTATCGCTCAGTCTTTACTTGAATATGATAGCATGGATTTTACAGCTTTGAACGAAGTCTCGATAAGTGTCCCTAATCTAAAAGGGAATTGTTAGGGGAGACGATATATCATTGTTAGCCGTAAAGTTATGTTCGGTGCAACCAATCAGATATTGATTATCTATGGTTTAAATTCCCGTTGTTCTGAAAACAATATATACTGGGTATTGTGAAGAATAAAAGCTTTTGTTGTGGTTGTCACAGTTAAATTTGACTTCTGTGTCTACCTCAGTGTTGGGAATATTTCCAAGTGATCAGTCGGCCAGTACCATGACTGGAAGCTCATTACAGTGAAGTTAGACAAAAACAAACAAAATTAGTAACACTTATAACAGAGATAAAGCAACAGTAAGTGGTAATTTGACAGAGAATATCTGGGTTAACTAGTGTTGTGTAGTCTATGGGAATCCTGACAGTTCAATAAGATTGGTGGGCGTCAATAATCACACTACTTTAAAAGTAAGTAAACTTCTTATTAGCAATTACAGGATGAGCCTAGTTATAATATTACCTAAAATTCTACAGTCCATACACACGATAGCTAAGTGAAGTGAAAGAACATTTCAGGCTAGTGCATTGATCAGATATTCCTCGAACAGCTTACTGACATCTGAATATTTCATATTGCTTGACCTCATAAGACCGTTCAGTTCTGTCAGTTTAGAGATGTCACAAAGTCATCGTGTTAATATTTATATTTATTTTTTATATTTTATTATAGCTTGAGTCCACACAGTATTTTTGATACAAGTATGGAATTTTCAGCATGTGATATCGGTAGCCCAATTTTGCAGGCCGACTATTGATATCGAGTGTGCGTCGACCGGTGATCGAACCCCGGACCATGTGCATGGTCGGCGAGCGTCCTAACCGCTGTACCACCGACGCAATAGAGTTTAAAAAGTATGTTATCCTTGTCAATGCACTTTACTTATACTCATGCACTAGTTTAACGTCTTACTTACGGTTGTTGCCTGAAGTGACGACGATCAGTGGTATTCGCCAATGATACAATGTCACCATTCTTATTTAATTTCACTATAAATGTATATATACAAGTGATCTATATAATCTCGACTTCATAAACATTGATTTATTACCATGAAAGTAGGCAGATAAGTTATGATGTACGAAATACAAAGCACTACCGAGTAAAGATGTGAACAAAAAGCAGTCTTCCGAACACCGTGAGTAGTTTATTACGTTTATCTTTCCAATTATTTTGAGAGATGCATCATTTCAGACGGATCATACACTGAAGAAATCTTATCATAGGTTTATTTTGCCTTCACTAACTGGTAATATTTATTGCGTAGTGGGAAATATGCACATATTTATTTCCCTCATTTGTGTTTGTGTGACACAGCAGCAGGAAGCGCGGTCGTTGTTAATCCGGGCCCCGACCGATCCGGCATGATATTTTGTGAGTTTGTTCGAATCATAGTATTGGATTTGGTAGCTGCTTTTTGTCTAACCGCTATCCAAACAAACTTTCTGGTATGGTAGGACCTACAGGAACATAAGTTCCAGCCAGTGTAGCTCGTTGGGTCAATGCGATATGCAAGCCCGACCACCACATCAAGGTAGCAGCTATCGGTCGTTTCAACTACAGGCGGAACTGACGAGGATATCAAAGCAAGAATCGGGAAAGCAAGACAAGCTTTCACTACTCTCAAGTCTGTGTGGAGGTCAACAACACTCAGCATCAAAAATAAGATCCGGATTTTCAACTCCAATGTGAAGTCAGTGGTACTTGCTATATGGATCAGAGACTTGCACTGCGCGTCATAAAGAGCATCTCAAACAAACTACAGACCTTCATTAACAGTTGTCTTCGCTCAATACTCAAGATTAGATGGCCAGCAAGAAAAGATCAGCAACAGGGATCTCTGCAATGAGCGAACCAACCAGGAACCGTTTGTGAAACAAATAGGCAGGAAGAAATGGAGATGGATTGGCCATACTCTGAGGAAACCATCAAGTGACATCACTAGACAAGCCATCACTCGAGTGGAACCCGAAAGGGAAGCGGCGAGTTGGTCGTCAGTGCAAGGGTGACATGGAGGAGGTCATGTGAAGAGGAGGTGAAAACGTGTGGACAGACTTGGAGCCAGGTAAAGACTCTAGCAGAGAACCGAACGCAATGGAGACGCACAGCTGAAGCCCTATGTTCCTCTGAGAATTAAAGGAAACAATAATAATAATAATAATAATTTGTGTTTGTAAATACCGCTCGGAGGATTTCCAAAAATCCGAGAGAAAAACAATTGTGTGAAATAAAAGTAATAAGAGCCACACTATGATGACAATCAGGATGGTAATGGTGGTGATACGTGCTAGTATTTCTCAAAAAAATATATTATTCGATGAGCAGAACTCCAAATGATGGTTAGTGAAAACATTTGTGATGAAAAGCTCTCGGTAGACAACAAGTACACTTGTATATCTGACGCAGATTCCACAACAGCTGACGAAATGCGAATTTCTTGTACGTCAGTCTGAATGCGTATTGAAAGAACATAAAAGGCACTACTAAAATTCAGCAAGCACTTTAAACTTGCAAGTGTACTCACTTTAGGTGTGGTAAGACTGATTAAAAAAGCTTCCTGAAATGAAATGACTATTTGGAAGTAATTTACTCTTAAAAATTTTACAAACGAAGTAACGCGATGCAACGAGGTGGAGTAGCGGTAATTAGGTACTGCTGTATACCAAGGCACCTTAGGATCGACTAATTCTTGGAAAGCTCCTAAAAATGGTTCCAAGAACATAAGCGAGTGGTAATCTATTTTTGTAGGGATAGATAATACACACAGTATTAGCTACCTAATTGGTTCTAATAATAATATGTCAAACTCGAGTTGTAAAAAAGGTCAACCATGTCTGTTCAAATACAGTCAACCAGTTTAGGGAAGGATAGAAAAACACGCAAAATGGTAACACTACTCGAATATGTTTTCATGGGGAAATAAAAGAAAGAGAGCAGTTTTCATGAGCCAGCTTATAAATTCGAATTTATGAGTTCAGGGAATCCCGTATTTATTTTTTTTATTTTTGATTACAGCTTGATTCCACACCGTATTTTCAGTACAAGTATGGAATTTTCAGCATGGATATCGGTAGCCCAAATTTACAGGCCGACCATAGATATCGGGTGTGCGCCGGCAGGGGATCGAACCCCGGACCATGTGCATGGTCGGCGAGAGTCATATATATACATATATATATTTCCCTAAACTTAGTATAATGCGGAATTAAATCTCACTAATACTGAAATAATTCTAACATTCTATAGTGTGTAAATTCTGAATCTGTTCTGAAATGGATTCTTTAACGGCACAGACTAGAACTCAGTGATGGTTTTCAGCATGACTGGCACTAATTCGGCACCGTGTTCTTTTTCTAGGCATTTTAGGAGTAGATCGGAACCTACTGGGTTTACTTACCAGCGTTGTACCAGCCATCACGGGACATATATTAAGCCCTGACTAGCGTTACTTCAGAACGGAAAGACTTAATGCAACACCCAGCCCTCTTTTTAAGCAAGACCAGTGTTATTTCAGAACATAGTAGGTAGATATAATCTTCATTTACCATAAAAAGGCATTATCGAAGAATAAGTTTAGAATTGTTGTTAGCGTGAGTATTTATAAAGAGATGTGGAACAGATGTTAAGCCTATAATAATCGAGTGAAGTGATGCTTGAATACTGAAGGCTCTGTTGTACTTATCACAAAGATGACACAGTAACTTCTGCAGTTGAAACGTGTTAGGTTTACAACATTGTTAGTTACACTCTACATTAATTCAATACCAACATTTAACAAATTAAGGTGATAGGCTACTTCATTTTATGAAGAAAAGTGGTTTTTTGGAAATTTTCTTGGTTTTGATTAAAAAAAGTAAAATGAACACATACTTCAACAATGCAACAGGAAGCAGACGTGTGGAATTGTGGAGTCTGTAACTTCACCAACGAAATGCGCGCGCTGTTTGAAAAAGGGAGTTCTTTTTTCACGTATTTTCACGTATTTGACAAATCGCTGTTTTTGTTGTGTTATTCACTTCAAGAACATTTTTCAAAACTTTAACTTGACTTTTGTCTGTTAAGTTTTGATTTTAAACATTTTTATAGTCTATATTGGGTAAATTGTCTTGGCTGTTCCAGTAGTTCATTATGTCAAAAGTACCACATAAATGTAATAGGGTGGAGTGTTACTTTTTCGTAGATGATGGAATACAGTGTAATAACTGTAAAAAGTGGTATCATAAGATGTGTACTGGATTACGTCCAGCTGCATACAAACGTTTTATTGCTCTAACATCCAACTGGATGTGCAGAATGTGCTGCTCCCCAAAGATGACTTTGATAAGGGAGGCTCACAAACTACTGTCTAAGGCTATGGAACTTCCTGATGATAGCGTGGCTAGTAATAGTGACACAGACTGCCCGTCTGAAGATGAGGCAGGAAGTGCCACCATGAATGTTACCACACCGGCGGTTACTATCCCAGTTACCCCGGAAGTAAAACCTACTAGGCGTTCGAAGCGTCTTAGTAAGCGAAAGGGTAACAGAACGGAAGCTGCAAACAGCATCTCAGCACCAGAGAACACTGTAAGCGAAGTTCAACATGAAGGTGGTGCAGACACTGATCTCGATTGTACCATCAAAAACTGCAGCAGCCCTGAGAAGCAACTGCAGGCAGATGATCAGTGGGTAACGAAAATAAGCAATCGGAAGAAACATAGTAATATTGATGGTAAGCAAACGTCTGTCACCTGTAGCCAGGCGGCATCAATAGTGGTGAGAAAAGACGTAGCCACTGCTAAACACGACAAGCTCTCCTTAGACTCTAACATAATTGTTGGAAATTTAGAAGAGTCCAAAGAATCTGATCCCGTAAAAAGGCACGATCACGACCTTAAATTAGTGAGTAGTATTATAAGGAAGATGCTCCCAGCGAATTTCCATGGAGTATCGATTAAAAAGCTGATTAGAATAGGCAAAAGAGATCAGCGTAGATTGCTTAAAGTAGTCTTAGGTTCTCCTGATGAACGGAATCATCTACTGGCTAATGTACACAACCTTGCCGGGTCAGGAATTTCAGTCAGACCTGATTTATCTCTTGAAGACAGACTTAAACGAAAAGAAGTTTTGTCCTAGCTAGAAACAAGACGTAAAAATGGTGAGACTAACCTTAAACTGGTGGGTTTTCAAATAGTCAGGTCTTGGAAACGTATGCTTCCAAGACCTGTGTGGATAAGCCGGACCGCATAGGAAGCCTGAAGGTAGTGTACACTAATACACGTAGTATCTGGAACAAATTTCATGAGCTAGGTGTATTAGTGGAAGACCTTAGCCCAAGTATCGTGGCCATTACTGAAACATGGCTGGTTTCTGGATTAGATGACACACCTGAGCTATGCGATTTAGTTGCTTGCGCAGCGACAGGGCTAAGGGTCGTAGAGGTGGCGGGGTTGCTCTGTACATCAACAACTCCCTACATGTTTGTTCCGTGAAATCTGAAGCTCATGACAGTGGGACAAGTGAGGTAATTAGCTGTGAAGTAAGCTTTGCAACTGGCACTTTACTCATTGGTGTTCTGTATAGAAGTCCCTATTGTCAGTGTGATGACTTTATTTTAGATCACCTCAAACAGTAGCCGTCTTATTCTTGGTGACTTTAATGCACCTCATATAGACTGGGTAGCTGTCACATCTCCAGGATCCACTAATAAGTTTGACAGCCGGTTACTCTTGACTACCATGGAAAGTGCCCTGACACAACATGTCTAAGGTAGTGCAAGATTCGGTTCTACCCAAGGATCTTCCTTGCTGGACTTAGTGCTTACTCATGACAACGACGACGTGGATGGTCTAGTTATTCATCAACCTCTAGCAAACAGTGATCATGAGGTGTTAGATTTTAACTTAAGGGTTGGCAATTTAGTCAGTTTTCAACCCAAATCCCGACCTAGTGTTTGGCATGCTGACGTAGTCGCTATAAAGGAGCGTGCTTCAACTGTCGACTGGTCAGTCAATATGGTCACATCCATTGAAGATGAATGGGATAGATTTAAGAATACACTTGAGATGGTTACCACTGATTTCATTCCCTGGAGGGTTCCTAAAAGACCAACAAACCGGCCACCATGGATAAACAGACAAGCTATAACACTCCTAAGACGGAGAAAAGGGTTCTGGAATCTCTTTGTTTCTACTGGGCTACAGCAGTTCCGGCTGAAATACTGTGAAACCAGAGACCAGTGTAAAACTTTGATTCACCAGTCAAGGATAGCTTACGAAACCCAGTTAGTTAAAAGTTCACCAGGCTGCCAAAAAAGACTCTTCTCATATATCAAGAGAAGAACACGTAAGAGTGATGCTATCCCACCTCTTATGCTTGAAGATGACCAGACAAACATGGCTGAGGATAACTTGACTAAGGCTGAGGCTTTGTCCAAGCACTTTAGTCAAGTATTCTCTGATAATATTGATACCAGCTCTGTAACTTTTCCAGAAGGTAACTTGAAAATGGCACCCTTATACATTGGAAAGGATACTGTCCTAAAGTACCTTCTAAGGCTCAATCCTGGTAAGTCCAGTGACCCTGATGAACTCCACCCACGTATATTAACAGCATTGGCTGAAAACATAGCCGAGCCATTGTCGGTAATCTTCAATATGTCTGTGGACCAGTCTAAATGTCCAAGAGACTGGACAGATACCATCATTAGTCCGGTCTTCAAAACCGGATCTAGAAATTTAGTTCAGAACTATCGTCCTGTTAGTTTGACCAGTATTGTTGTTAAACTACTAGAAAGAATAATTCGTGATGCTATCATTCAGTTCATTGAAGGGAACAAACTTTTCACTGTGGAACAGCATGGTTTTAGAGCAGGTTATTCTTGCTTGACCAACCTTCTTTTGGCCAGAGAAAGTTGGGCAAGCTCAGCTGATGCTAATATACCGGTGGATGCCATATTCATCGACCTTAGCAAGGCGTTTGACAGGGTTTCTCATTCAAGTCTTCTAGTAAAGTTAGGTAGTATGGGAATCAATAAAGTGGTTGCCGACTGGATTCAAGACTTTCTAAAGGACAGAAGACAAAGAGTACGAGTTAGCGGGGTTTTATCAACATGGGAATCGGTTAAGAGTGGCGTTCCTCAGGATACAATTCTAGGCCCACTTTTTGTTGTAATAATATAATATATATTTATTCCTGTTTATGCAGGAACATACCAATTGTACAGGCATGGATAAGTTATTATATAAATTACAGTTTGTTTGTTCAATCTAACATTAGAGTCAGTCAGAACAGTTTGCAGAATAGTCTGTCTGTGTAACACATAAAGAGATATAGAAATATTGTCTTCGCATTAACAAAAAACCCAGACTTCAGATGAATGTAATACAAATATCTGGGAAAAATAAAGCTTGAAGTCAATTCCCCTATAAGACTTTGTTGTGAACAGCATCCGTGAGATAAAGTTTATTGATGTATTATTTTGATTCAATAATGTATTTATTCCATTTTTGTCAGCAGTCTAATCGTAGTTTTATAATAGGAAAGAAATTTGATCTTTGATACGAAAATTAGATAAGGTAATGTTAGATTGTTTTACTGCATCAAATGAGGTCAGTTCTAGAACTATCCATTGGCGCCATTTGCGTCAGCATGGCAGACTGTACATGTAAGTTGAGTAATACATTGATAACTGTTTGAAAACCAGTTGCTTCTTTATTTCAGATCAAGAATACTCCTTGTACAGAATATTAGCCAGCGTTTTCAAGTGGTTGCATCGGATCGTTCATGGAATTTGAGTTTGAATTTACATAAATGGTCATTTCAGTTTGGATGTTGGGTTGTTCGACCTCAACCAGGAGGTATATAGAAGATTAAGCTCAGCAGGGAGATAAAGTATGTAAAAATGAAGAAAACATTAATATTTTATGTATATATAAATGTATATCATTGTATAGTAAACACTACCCATAATCTAGTTGTTTTTCATGTAATTTTGCGAAGTCTTAGAGTTAATTTAGTGTCGTAATATTTAGTAATGAGTCTAGGCGTTATAGTGTTCTAATAGCTCATGCGTTTTGGAAATAAGTGGTGCGGTGTGATTGGCATAGTCATTGGGATGAAGCAGTTTATATAGCAAGCGTTTGGAGGTTATAATAGAGTGACAGGTCCTTATTTCTAGGGGTAAACTGTTCCAGATCTTAGAATACATGACTATGAAGAAGTTTGCATGGAATGCTGTTTTGCAGCTTTTCCTAGATACTGTGCACGTTTGGTTACGCAGGTTGTAGGAGCCTTCAAGTGAGAACTGTATCTCCTTGCTGTCTGAGAATGATATTTTATGCAAGACTTTAAAGAAGAATGTTAGGTTAATGCTCAGTCGTCTCATCCAGAGTGGGTCGATACCTAGAGTTATACACCTTGATGTGTAGTCCCTTTCGCAGTCAAATCCTAGTAGTTTAGACGTGGAGTATCGTTGGACACTTTCTATTTTAAGTTTGTCACTTACGCGAGTGCTGCTGAGAATAAATGGACAATATTCAAGTAGTGGTCTGACACAAGTTTTATATAATAATAGCTTCGCCTCGTAGTTGTGGAAATTCCTGAGTATGCATCCTAGGAGCATCCTCGATTTACGCGTCTGTGTCGCCACTTGCTCAGAAAATGTCAAGTCACTAGAGTACCTGAGTCCTAGGTCAACAACACTTTGGAGTTTAGGCAAGTCAAGAGATTCAAGTACCAGTTTAATGTTTATTGAGGGTGCACCGAAACAGATCCAACCACATTTTTTAAGGTTGAATTTTAGGTTCCATGTGGAGGACCATGCAGTTACTCGATCTAGTTCTTCCTGAACAGCTTTCTGAAAGTATCCTAAGTCATCACAGTAGAATGTGTAAGCTACTTTAAGATCATCTGCGAAGATAAATGGTTTGCCAAGTGAGAAACAGCTGCATATGTCGTTG